TCCCAGGCCTTTATGTTGGTATTTTTCTTTACACTTTCACCATCATGTGAACATCTGCTTCTGTCCAAATTATAAATATGACATCAAAGAGCAAATAAAAGTATCTGAACACATAGTTCATCAGTTAGTTCATCTAGCTGAAGGACTGTTGAGCTTATATGGAGCAGCAATCTGTTGATGTCAATAAACTGGTCATTGATCATGATCAGGAGTACGTCTCCTCTCCTGAAACGTGATTAATTTGCCCTAGATATAACTGTTTGCAATTCTTCTTGGCCTTAGTTGGTGCATTAAAGCTAACCAATGACAACAAAACGTTCTGTTTGTGCTGCTTTGCACTGTAGTATCTGCAGCTGTGTCCGTAGGGACAGAGGCCACATCACTCCTCGTCAGCTGTTCCTCTGAGAATAGCAGACTTGTTGCTGACGGGTTTTTGAAACCCTGCTTTGTCTACGATTGTTCTTCAGATCTGGGCGCTCCTCCTGGCACCTTACAGTCAAAGTAGCCCCACTGCTGTCTGCAAATGCACTGAAATTAACTCCATACCATTTTGCAGTGGGATTATATTTGCTTTGATTCTTCTAAATGAGCAGCAGGTAAACAAGGAAAATGTTCAGAGTTTGCATAAACAAGTTAAAACAGGGCTGTATTAGAAAACAGTGGCATTCAGACTCGAGAGCATTTGACAAAAGGTGTGTGTGTGTGTCTTTAGAGGATGGGAGTTCTCCACATAGGCCAGCGGATTGAAGAGCAGACAGACTTTGAGAAGATGTACAAGAATGGTGGGTGTTCCCTCACACGGCTGTAGCCTGAGTAGTAACAACTAATCAGAGTTTGTTGTTTTTATATCTAAACCCTGCCTAATATACAGCTGGCCCTTTGCATGCTCGCAAAACCTTTTGGATCCACTGATTTTTACAGGACTTGTAAAGGGCATTGTGTGGTAAACACTGCTTCAGCTACTATCTGACAGCATGATTTAGTCTTTGCACAGTTTTACACACACACTGAGCAGAAGACTGGTCACTTATTGCACTCTTTGACATTTTTGCTTCACGGTTAGACTCTAACTATTCAACTTTATAAAACATTTAGTCAGAGAACATTCCCACACATTCATACTCCAGTGAATGCATCAGAGAGCGTCTCAGTGTCTCGTTCAAGAATACTTTGACATGCAGACTGGAGCAGCCAGGGATTGAACGACGAACTCTCTGATCAGTAAATGACCTGCTCTGCCTCCCCTTCAGCCTGGGCAGACAATGCTGACGCTTGTGCCAAGCAGTATGCTGGAACCGGTGCCTTAAAGACTGACTTCACCAGGTGAGTGTTCACAGCAAACACCTACAATACATGCTAACAAGTTTTTCTCTTAGCCCTACCTGTCTTCAAGTTGTGCCATCAGAACTGACAGTCGTCTCTTCCATGATGAGGTGAAAGCAACCACCCACTCTCTCTTTGGAGGAGCTATTTCCTTCTAGCGTTTTGTTTCTGACTTTTGTGCTA